TTCTCAATACGAACATATCCGTAATCTGATAAATTATGATCCTACTATAGAAACTGTCATCAATTCCACGAAGGAGACAAGGTGTGGTTGTGGAATCCGACTCGACTGAAAGGACTTTGTGCGAAATTACGGTCACCTTGGGATGGCCCGTACACAGTCCTAAGCAGGCTGAATGATGTCGTGGTTCAGATTCGTAAGTCTTCGAACTCTAAACCTAAAGTCGTTCATTACGACAGGTTAGCTCATTACTATGGCCATAGTACATAATGTAAATAAATGTAAATAATTGTAAATAGTGTAAGACCATGGTCCTTTTTGTTTCTAAATGTGTATTTAGTATTTTATTTGTATTTGATAGCATTTTATTTGTTTTATTTATTGCATTTATTGTTCATGTTGTTTATTATCGTAATGTAATGCTTATTATTGCATTTATGATTTATGCCACAGTGTAAGTTTGGCTTCCTGTCCAGGGATTGTACTGCTCGGGACATGCAGTCCTTGGGATGGGGGCAGTGTTAGGCTGCTACACGTCAGTTTGTTTCGGAAGAACAACTGTTTGGAACAATTTTTCTGCTTTCCAATCAAAAACCGATCATCAAAACAGCCAATCAAAACAGATCGCTTTGGGGTTAACGCAGGGAAAACTGGTTCCCCACTACAAACAAGCTGATAGCATTCAAAGCTGATAGCTGATTGGTTGAAAACGAAGATGCAATTTTTTTGGAAAGGAAGGAAAAAGTCGCGCGTCTTTCTTTCAATAGTAAACCAGGCAGAAAAATTGTCCGAAACAGTTGTTCGTGTGAAACAAACGCCGTGTGATATGCGCCTTACGGATTTGGTATTTAAATAGCTTATGTTAGTTGAATTGTAAATTAAATGGTTTTATTTCCCGCGCAGTGCAGCGCGTGACGAATATTAAAAGAAAGCAAAGCCGAAAAATTGAAAATACAAGAGCGCATGCATGTAACATTTAATAAATATCTCTTTTTGATTTCGAGAAAGTACTAGAAAATTCTCGCGCACGATTTTAAAATCTTATAAAAGGAGGAAAATCTCTCAGTTCGTTGTAGTTACTTATTTGTTGTTGTTTAGAAAACTGCTCTTGTTGACTGCTGCGAATTCGCGAATTAGCTTTCTTTAGCTGTTTTGAATTAAGTTCTCTTGAACGTTTGAGTAGTTAGAAGATAACTACTGTGATATATTGTGATACTTCACTATTTTTGAGGACATTTAATCATATTTGTTGTGATAATAATAAATTTTCATTTTTTTCATCGGACTTGTGCATTCATTCCATAACGAACCCATACGAACGCAACACAATAATATTGCTGCCATCACATTATCTCGCACTCATGAAATTAAAATTATTGGTCCTATAGATTATGAGGGAATTGCTAAGACACAGACAACAGATGATTAATTATAAGAAATATTAAATACTAATAATTCTTCACAAAACAAATTTTAACTTCAAAATTCAAAAACAGAATGCGTTATTATAATTATATCGTGATACTCACTTTCAAAAGTTAAGCACGGAGAGAAAAATTCTAATTTCCGGAAGCCAATCAGAATTGAAGAGGATGCAATTCGCTTCAGAGGTAGATGGAAGTATGCAAATATGTTAGGTAACAGCCAGTCGCGCTTTCATGTCAAGAAATATGCAAAAAAGGCAGTCTTATAAGAAGCCAGCTTTATGAAGGGTTACAGAAGTTGATTGTAAGTGCTGATAGAAGGCGTTTAAAACTTTCGTACAATTTGTGTTTTTATGACTTCCAGAAGACGAATGGAAGATTCTGAGCGGTGGAGTGCTGTGGGGCGCATTGAAGCAGGACAGTCGATCACAGATGTTGCTCTTTTCTTCGTCGTTCATCATTCTGTAATTTCACGTTTATAGAAACAATCCCAAACCACACAGATAGTTGTCCAAAGGCCCGTAGCCGGCCGCCCAAGTGTTACAACCCCGCAGAAGATCGATATATTGCTATTGTACCCAAGCGGAATCGCAGAGTGACCTCCACACGTGTGACATCTATGGTTACACGTCCATTCGTAAGGCGATATCTGCAGCTACTGTACGCCAATGATTACATATGAGTGGACTGTACGCTCCAGGTACCTTGAGTTTGTGTTCTTCTATCCGTCCAATCAGGAGGGCGCGATTACAGTGGTGCCGGGAACATGTCAATTGGAATGTGTCTGACTGGGCCAGTCTCATGTTTATTGATGGGTCAAGATTTGCTCTGGAGCCGGATGACAAGCGTATAAGGATATGGCATGAACAACGAACACGCAATGTCCTAAACATCACCGAACATCACGAATTCCGAGGCGGATGCATTATGGTGGGGGCAGAGATTTCATTAGGATACCGCACCGATCTGCACATTTTTAAACGGGGTTCTTTAACGGCTATCCGGTATCGAGATGAAGTTCTAGAACCAATTATGAGATTCTACGCTGCAGCAGTTGGCCCTACTTTTGTTTTAATGGACGATAACTCACGTCCCCATAGAGCTGACATCGTCGATGACTACCTGGAGAGTGAAGGGATTGCGTGTATGATGTGGCCAGCATGCTCGCCCGACCTTGATCTCATTGAAAATCTTTGGGATGCTCTCGGCTGTGCTGTATCTTCACGTTTCCCACTTCCAGCCACTCTTATTGAGCTGGAAACTGCTCTACAAGAAGAAGGGAGATTGCTTAGTTCTTCGTTGGTTGTCCACCTAATTGAAAGCATGGTCACAAAGTGTAAACTTTGTACACAGATGAGGGGGGATCACATACTCTATTAATGCTCTTTTTTCATTTTATGCTGTTTATTTTCACTTTATACATAAGTCTGTTTAAGTCTCCAGTATGTCATGATCTGATAACTTACAAAAATGTAATATTGTTTTCATTTCTGTATATAATAATGATTTTGTTTTATGCATAAATATATATGCTACTTTCCTGCCGAATTTTGTGTCAATCAAAGCAGTATTTGTTGATTTTTTTTTGCATTTTACGTCTTCGGGGTTAACTTTTGGAAGTGAGTGTATATCTGCCGACATAGCAAGATCTTCTATTTCTGAAGCATCCCGATGTGCAAATAAATTTTACTCATCCAGCCACACGAACGACGTCAAAATGGTTCGTAGTCGATATATATGGCCAAGTAACAACAAAGATATCGCGAAATGGGAAAGACAGTGTATTCAGTATCAAAACGCTAAACTACAAAAACACAGTTCAGCGCCTTTACAATCATTTAGTTAAACTTCTATGCAATTTCAACATATTCATTTAGACCTCGTCGGCCCACTTCCACCTTCTAGTGGATTCACATACTGTTTAACGGCTATCGATCGGCTCATTTAGATTTGATCTTTGCTCTTAAGTAGAATTTACAATTTTACAAAAATTTTGCAAGAGAAAAGATCAGGTGCACACTAAAGGTTTCAGGAGACTGCCGGGATATTTCCTCCGCTGAATCACTTGTTATGGAAAACTGCTTTATGACCAGTTTTTGAATAATTACTGTTCAGATTTTGGAGAGTACTTGATCTTCACTATATCCCTTTTTAGTAAATTTCCGTTTTATTTGTTATGTCATTCCAAAAAATAAGCCTCATAGTAGAAAAATATTTACACTTCCTACTGGATTTCCCAGACCTGAACAAATTTTATTTCCTAATTTTTACGTTATTTCTGCATATCCTGCATTTATTCCGTTCGTCTTCTTATTACTGATAGGAAAAATAACAATTACGTGGAAGATTTGGAATACTGAATTGCATATGTATGTTGAACAGTGAGAACAAATCCAGCATGATGTCATAATTGACTAATACTCTGAATAATAAAATTTTAAGAAAACATAGTTTCATTCGCGGGAACAAAATAAACGAAGCAGCTTCCAAAATATAAAAATATTTTCAAAACCTCAGTTTCCATAGAAATATCTTAAAATTTTCTATTAAATTCAAAATTTCTAAGATTTACATGCTTCTTCGTAGCATGTAAAGTCTTCAAACTTCTATGACATGTCGTTATTATTCACAAATTTTCATGAAAGATGATAAAATATTTGATTTTTTCTTTGACAGTTTTAGTATCATTCCGTAAACACCTGCAGTTAAACTCGCATGGCATTACCTAATTAATGCGAAATGGGATATATTCTAAGAATCTACGAAATAGTGAAATGTTTGGTATGAAATGATAAAAATCTTGCATGAAGTTCAGTATATTTTCGCTCTCATTATTGAATATCTCCTCCTAAATTCTAAAATAGTGATGTTTCAACTCTTATTATTTTCAATGTTCCTTATTTTATAAATTAGGGAATTGGGTAAATGTGGTAAATTTAGGAAAACATTAAAATACCTTTCCTCATTGGTTAAAACAACTTGTTGTTGATAAACCTACTAATAGGAATTCGGTTAAACTTTTGAAAACTAATGTGATGGGATAATGTGATTTTGTATAAACATTTTGGAGTGCTTTTCTATTTTGAAACAGTGTTTAAAGCTATAAAAAGCGTTAAACTTGTTAAACGTTCATTTGAGTTCTTAGCGATTAATAACATGCATATGTTTAATTCTAAATGAAAGATTATTCCTTGGCTAATTATGCGCTTATTATCTTAGTTTATTAGCGCTTATTATCTGCTTGTTTAACCTTAATCGAGTAATTTTGCTAAAGTGATTGGCGTCATCCAGAAAACATGATGTTATCAAAATAGATCTGATAAGCTAATTACAGAAGGATGAAATCACATGATAATGAATGTCCTAGAATTTTCCATATGTATTAGTAACTGCAAAGCATTTGATTGGTTAAACAATATTGATTTTTGATCCATATTGTCTGATTGGTGACTTAAGGGATTTCAAGATCCATAGTTATAGCATATATAATTCATATCTTCCAAAATCAATATTACAGTACCTTGTAAACTAGTTTTACGATTGTGCGCTGGTTGCTTGCTTCCATTTTTTATGTTTAAAATGGCTAATATTTCAGTTTCTTCAATCTCCAATAATACTACTACTGATGCATTTATACCTAAAAAGGTAGGTTTTACTACTGTTTTATGAAATATATTTTTAATATGTTTAAGGTTTATTACACGTATAATGTTTATGTTATTGGGACATGATGTACTTAGTGAAATTAAATTTGTGAAAAATGACTTAAAATGAAAATTTTATGGTGGTAACGTTTAAGATTTATGATTAATTCAGCCATTACAGCCTAAGAAGTGCATACACATTATGAATATTCTAATAAATTTCATTTTTGTTATGGGAGTGTTTGTGTATAAGATATGTGTATGTACATATGTACTAAGTTATTTTACTGATTATGAGTTTCTGCTCTTTTCTCTCAGGTAGGTCCTATTTGTGATAAAGTGTTTGGTCTAAAGCATAATTTGACTCGTCACCTAAAGATCCATTCGGAAGAGAAAACCTTTCATTGTGCAGAATGTGAAACGTCATTCGTTCGACATAGCGATTTAACTAGGCATATGAAAATTCATGATGAAAAAACACCTTTCCAATGCAGTATGTGTTCCAAGAGATTCACTCGCATTGATAACTTAAGAATTCATGAAACGATTCATCTTCGAAATTTTACTTGTGCGATATGTTTACAAGTTTTCCCGAAAACGGGTGACTTGAATAGACACCTGAAATCTCATGAAAGGAGCTACAAATGTAGTAAATGTCCTAGGAAATTTAGTGAACTCTATCATTTGGAACGTCATGAAGCTTCCCATCTTAAAAGATGTACTGAATGTTCGGAAACTTTTACAAGTCAGAGGGATTTTAGGAGACATATGAAAATTCATAAAGTTACTTTTAAATGTAAATTCTGCTCAAAGGTATTTGGTGAACTTGATCATTTGGAACGACATGAAGCTTCCCATCTTAAAAATTGTATTGAATGTTCGGAAATTTTTACAAGCCAAAGAGATTTAAGAAGACATATGAAAAAACACGAAGTTGTTTTTAAATGCAGTAGTTGCTCAAAGAGTTTCACCAGTAATGATGCTTTGAGACAGCATGAAGCTTCTCATGTTAGAAATTGTACTAAATGTTCACGAGCTTTTAAAAGAAAAAGCGATCTTTTACATCATATTCGAGTGGAGCATGGTCTAACACGAACTATAGAAAAACGAAGAAATGCTGATCCTGTCAGTGTACGTTCGGGTGCTAAAATCACAAGTCTCAAGGATATGTTCGCTACTGAGTCGATTTTCTCTAATACAGGGAATAATTAAGACCTAGATGTGTTTCTGGAGTACATAAAATCACAACTTGTAGAAAAATTGAGTGATAATATAGCAACATATCGGTGTCTGAAATGGTATACAGTTGTTACTGTTAAAATCAGCCGTGAGTGTGAAAATGGAGAACCTGAATACATTTACCCATATTTCCGTAGCAACTGTTTGCAATTACTTAAAGCGTATGATATAGAAAGAGAAATTTCCGAAGCTTTCGAAAAAATAAAAAGCTATGATGAGTTTATTGAAAATGGCTCAGGAGGGATTCTGGGAAAAGTTATTAAATGTGAAATAAATATGGTCAGATACAGAGCATTTTCTTAGAACAGTTAATTATTCACGTATAATAAAATAAGAACATTAACTTGAAAATAAAAAAAAAAACAAATATATATGCATGTATCGAATGATGATATTACATTGGTTAATGTAAATAACTGATGATACATGTATTAAGATAGTGAATGCTGACTTTTATGCAGTCTGAAGCATTACTAAAATATCATTCATAAAATTTTGAATTAATATTATGTGATCTACCTATGAATTTAATAATATTTAGTAAGTTTTCCATAGTAAAAGACTAATCCTAAAAGCGTTATTGTTTAGTTATTTCATTATATATAAAATATAAATAAGGGCTTTTTGCTCAGAGAGTTTCCTATGAAGGTAGAAATATTGTTAATTGACTAGCGTAGGAAAGGGTAGTAAGGAAAAAAAATAGTATATTCAAGGCACCCAAAATTTAAAAAATAAGGGCATGTGTGCATGCAGTTGGCAAAATATATTGAACTAAAAGGTATTACATGTTAAAAATATTGATAAAGACTTCTGGATGAGGACATGAAATTTGCTACTTCATTGCAAAAATTCGGTAGCTATCAAGCTAGCTTAAAGATAATTGGGACTCAAAACTAAACAATGGTAACATTAAAGAGTTCAAAAAAACATGCGTTCAAATATAAAAGGTATTAAAAAATATAAGGAACTACCAGAATACGCAGGAAATGTTAAAATCTGAAAATTCAAATGAAGTTAACAATGAAATAAAATAGCAGCATTATTCATGGTAAAACTACTACAGAAGGATAAATTGTACAGTAGGCAAATTAAAACAGTACTATAAAATATATACTAAGCAAGGGTTATTCAACGAATTGGATGTGAATAGTATTTAACTGTTATAAAATAAAATGCTTAATTGTAAACTATCTCTATATTTAAGACGTTTAAACGCGTAAATTTAGTTGAAATGGTAAAATAAGTAAAATAAATATGTATTATAAACAGAAAATATGATAAATACATTAAAATTAAGGGTACAAGGAAAACAAAAGTGCTAAAAATGTTAGAAAATTTTATCTAAAAGTAAAAATACAATGCATGCAAATAATGTGAAAATAAATTAAAACTTAAAGTGCGTTGAAAATTACGAAGGTTAAAATGTACGAAACAAGTTAAAATTGCTTCTTAAATTAAATACATATATATGATCAGAAAATATAGGAATTAAGTTAAAACTAGGAGTATACTGAAAATTGCGAAGGTTAAAATGTATGAAACAAGTTTAAAATTACAGTACTTTAAAAATTATGAAGGTTCAAAATGTACGAAACAAGTTAAAAATAACATCTAAAATTAAATAAAGCTCATATATATGGTCAGAAAATAGAGGAATTAAGCTAAAATTAATAACACGTTTGAAATTACGAAAGTTAAAACGTATGAAATTAGTTAAAAATTAAATAAAGGTCATGTACATAGTCTATAAATATAGAAAATTAGTTACCATTCAGAGTATGTTGGAAACTAAAAAAAACGTTAAAACTAACTATATAAATTGCGTTACATCTAAAATTAAATAAAAGTCAGGTATATGATCTGAAAATATAGGAATTGTGTTAAAATTAAGACTATATTGGAAATAATGAAGGTCAAAATGTATGAAAACAATCCAATAACATTCATGTATGCAGTGTGAAAATATAAATTGGTTAAAAATTAGAGTACATTGAATATTATGAAGGTTAAAATGTATAAAACAAGCTAAAAATGTAACATCTAAAATAAAGTAAAGGTCATCTATATGATCAAAATGCATGAAATAAGTTAAAATACAGAGTATGTTGAAGATCTCTAACTTTAAAAAAGAGCAAAAAAAAGTTACTAATTGCATCTAACATTGAATAAAATAACACATAAAAAACGCGTGTTTTAGTAATTACACTTGTAAAATATAACAGATAAGTTAAAAGTATTGATTAAAAGGAATTCTGGGTAGAATAAATTTAATACTAAAAAATGAGTAATGTAATTAAGATTACGGAAAGTAAATCTGGTATTATGAACAGAAGATTTAGGAAATAAGGTAAAATTCTGGGTATATAGGGAAGTCTTAAAAAAATTTACATCTAAAATTAAGGCCTTCTGAATTAATCATTAAATTCGAAAATAATCGTCGTTAAAGATACCTAGAAAATAACCATCATATACTTAGTAAAATAGCTGGAATACAAAGGAAAATATAAAGTCTAAGCATGGATTAACAAAGAACCTCCGGAAAATCAATGAAAGATAATCTTTTATCAAAGTGTGACGTCATCTTATCAGTTAAATGAAGAATCCCCGAAACACTCCTTATCTACTGCGCCTCCGGGTGCTGGCTCATCCGCAATCCACCTTCGCAATCTGCCTGGGAGCTTGCACCTCGCACCTCCTCCTGTTGCTGAAACGGCCGTTTCCTACTACTCATGTACAAATATTTCTTCGTAATAAATTATGAATGTTTTCGTTTTAGTAGAATGAAGTCAGAAAGTACAAATTTGGTAATGAAGCACTCATTTCAGTCTTTCAGATTTTATTAAAAAATGCAATAAACACATTGCAAGAATGCAATAAACAAACTTGATATGTACTGCATGAAGTTTAAATATAACTCTGGTTCATGAATATAATATCTTAGTTATGTACTGTTCATTGTTCATGAATGTTAAAGAATAAACGTTTGAGTCAAAGAGAAACATATTTACAAAACAATGATTCTTATGTTCGTACTAATTTAAATCAAAGCGCTGATATTTCTTATAAAGATGAGGTATTTTCTTAGACGTGTTTCTAATGAAATTAGTATATACACGTCTTGTAAGAAAGAAATAGACTTCACGAAAAAATATATGACAATGCAAGACAGTGATCGTGGTGACTTCGAGAAAATAATCAAATTCTGTATGAGCTGGGTTAAAAGTCTCCATTACATACGAATACATCAGTGTCATAAAAATTCTATTTCTTTCCTTAATTTCTGGTTAAACGTGGTAGTGTTGTTGAAGTTAAATCTTCAAAACATGTAACAAAATTATTAAGTCGACAATTTAACTGTTTAGTAAAAATTTGTTCCCAAGTCTTTACAAGGCGTTGTAAAAGATAAACAGGAAAATATTTGAAAATTCAATGATTTGCAGTGGCAGCAAAGTGAAACGTGGTAATATTAAAAGTGTTCAAAATCTTATCGATAAGGTACTTCACAAAAAAGGTTTATGAAAGCACGATAACATCACAGTCATTCCTCAAATAACTTCCGTCAAAATTGAAAGTTTTCTGCTCAAAATTTACTTGAGAATGCAGGAAAAGAAACATTAGAGGATTCAAAATGAAGATACCTTCCGGAAACGTTTCGAAATGGTACAGTGTTTCAGAAAATATTCGCTTAACTTCTAACTTGTTGTTAACTTTGTTAAATCATATGTAATTGAGCATATGTGAGACACGAAATGCATTCGGATGCGAAAAAAATAACAAACATTTAACTATCTGGCAATGAATCAAGTTTCATTGGAAATTTAATGACATGAAAAGTAGAAAAATATGTCTGAGAGGAATATCTTGATGATAGTTTCTGAATGTGTTTGCTTCGAATAGAAATGAATAGTAATGAATTACTAAATTCGGTCAATTTTCATCAAAAACTTAGTAAGAAGTTCTGCGTATTGATAAAATATTACTTAAATTCTCTAGCTTCGAGACTTCCCTCAGACATTGGCAAGACCAACGGCTGTCTGAGCAATACAAGATAACTGTGTACTATTTAATAGGTTATTTCAAAGATATTAAAAACTGCCGTTTGGAAAATGAATATGCACATTTTCAAGGAAAAGAATATTCTCTTATGTTGTTTCGTTATTATAATTGTGAACAAAATCCGAAAATTACGTCAATAAGTAGATTAATCTCGGGAAAAATGGTAAATTAACGCGAAATGTTTTTTTAAAGTTTATGTAAATGAAACATAGTGATCGTAATAAGTTTGAAAAAATCATAGTTTATACACAGTGCATTAAATCTTTATTACTGATTTATGAATTCATGAAAATCAGCGAAAAAGCAATTTATAATGTTCGCTTGCTTACGCTATATTCTCTTGTTATTATAACCTTTTTGCTTTTGAGTTGTATTATTTCTCAAGTTGTAATATTTATGAATCTGAAGTTTCAAAACACAAAATCACTCTCATTTATCAACTTGTGCCTAAATGTAGAATACAGCAGTCAAAACGGGAGCTTTTAGTATAAGTAAATATACTACAGACAAAATAAAGTTAAAAATACTTCATAATTTTCTATGCCCTGTTCATGAAACTGGTTAAGGTTCTTGGTCGTTAACATTCTTTTCTGTATTTATCACTTAAGTTCATTGTCTTCCTGTCTTTTATCTAATTTGTGAAATATTCCTGTTTGAATACTTGCATTTGAATCTTTTTTTAACTGATTTTAAAGTACATATATATTTTGATCAATGCGTTGGGAAATGAGGAACTGTGGCCCCGAATGGTTCTACGCATTCCATACTAACACCTCTTCCTAAGAATACAGCTGGTTAAAAGAGAAATGTGTTTCGCACTTTGTGAAATGTATTTTATTTACTTATGTAATGTATTACTTATGTATTTTATTTACTTATGTGATGCTCATGATAAACAAAATTTTATACATGTGCCC